GAAAACTGATACTCTGAGTGAGCAAACTGAAAGAAAGAAGCCAAAATTAACCTCTGAAATAAAAGAAGAAGGGGGATTCTTAAATAGAGTTTCCCCTCTAGCGTTGTGCAAATTTTTCAAAGACTTGGATGACCGACAGAAAGAAGATGTAAAGAGTATAGGTTTTGGTCATCTTCTTGACATGAAGATACACAAATTGTGCCAGCAAATCTTTATTATTTCTTGGTCAGAAAGTACAGGTAATTTGTGAAATTTGATTTTCATTAGAATGTACATGTTATTTTCATTCTACAACATGTTCATTTTCTTATTAAACATGTACATCACATTATATCACATGTTATCACAGGTATGCCAGTAACACTCTCATTCTCCGCGGTAATAAGGAGATGAATATTGTCGCCGAAGATGTTGAGGCTGTTCTGGGCCTACCGAGAGGACCAAAAGAGGTCATTGAGGGAGATTGGTATGACAAGGATGAACAATATAATAAGATGCTTGGGGATTTGAGAGAGACCTTTGGTTTTAAGCGTACGGTTGGAGCTCCAACAGCAAAAAGCTGGTGCAATATTTAACTGGAAAGGACGTTGAGAGAGGACAGAGAGTCTATGGAGATGACTTTAAAAAAAATTTTGTGATTGCTGTGGTGTCCCTATTTCTCTGGAGAAATAGGGGCCAAGAATGCAAGTTTAGATTGCTCAAATCATTGCGAAATCCATCTGACATCATCAATTATAATTGGTGCCAGTATGTGTTACAAACTCTTTCTGAATCGGTCAAGATGTGGAATGAAAGTGGTGGAGAGGCCCATTTTAATGGTCCACTCACTTTCTTGGTGGTATGCTATCTGGACAGGGTCCAGTTTATGAACAAGACTTATGTGCCCCGGAAATTCCCTGCTATTGCTTATTGGACAAATCAAGCAATTTCCAAGAGAGTTAGGGAAGAGCAGAGTGGCCAGGGTTTTGGGATGGGGTTAATACTTGGTCCCATCAAACCACCAAGAGATGGAGCGCATCAAGCAACCACATTAGCTGATGAACATGTCGTCGAGGTAAATTCTGTTCATAAGTTTCTACAACATGTACATCTTATTATACAACATGTTCACAATATAATATAACATGTTGATCTTTAATCTGAAATATGTTCATCCCTTCATACAACAACTTTAACCAACATGTTCATCTCATTCTAAAAAATGTTCATATCATAATGTATCATGTTCATATAATAATATAACAGCTTCATCTCATACAAATTTTTTTCCTAAAAAGAAACAACAAGAAAATTTGGTTGAAAGGTTTGAAAGGGCTATGACAAATATAGCGTCATTCGTGTCTGAAGTTCGAGAGGTGTGTGAAAGGGCAAAGAGCTCGGATTTGGGTGCTGCCCTCATTATTCATCATGCAGTTCAGAACCATGCATCAGTTCTCATGAAAATCGCACAAGGTGTTATTGATGTGCAAAGAAATAAAGGAATTGATGATGAAATGGGTTTTGATGGACAGGAACAGGAACAACATGCAGGTAACATGTTCATTTCATTCTAAAACATGTTCATCTGATTGAATGACATATTCATTATCTTAAACATGTTCTTAAGCATGTTCATGTCCATATTTAACATGTTCATTTCATTCTTAAACATGTTCATCTGATTGAATGACATATTCATTATCTTAAACATGTTCTTAAGCATGTTCATGTCCATATTTAACATGTTCATTTCATTCTTAAACATGTTCATCTGATTGAATGATATATTCATTATCTTAAACATGTTCTTAAGCATGTTCATCTCCATATTTAACATGTTCATTTCATTATCTAGAAAATGAGGATGAGGAGTCAATTCATGTAGAGATGGGGATGATGTTTTGGTGCAAGAACAAGAAGGAATTGAGAATGGAGGTAACATGTTCATTTCTCTCTCAAACATGTTCATCTTATTGCATTATATATTCATTATCTTAAACATGTTCATTATCTTAGAAAATGAGGAAGAGAAAGAGGATGATGATGTGCAAAGAAATGAAGGAATTGAGACTGAAATGGCAACTGATGGACAACAAGAAGCACATGATGATCGAGAGGAACAGGAACAGGAACAGGAACAGGGACAAGAACAAGAACAAGAACAGAATGGAGGTAACATGTTCATTTCTCTCTCAAACATGTTCATCTTATTGCATTATATATTCATTATCTTAAACATGTTCATTATCTTAGAAAATGAGGAAGAGAAAGAGGATGATGATGTGCAAAGAAATGAAGGAAATGAGACTTAAATGGCAACTGATGGACAGCAAGAAGCACATGATACAGGTAACATGTTCATTTCGTTCTTAAATATGTTCATTTTATTGAATAACATATTCATTTAGGTCTGAATATTTATTTATTCATTCTGACGGTGAAGGAATTCAATATAAAGGAATTCAATCTATTTTGTCAGATATTCTCAATGAATATGGGGATGGAGAAGACAGTAATAAGGAAGTGGATGAGGATGATGTTGTGGTGCAAGAACGGGAAGGAATTCAGAAAGAACTTGCAACTGATGGACAGCAGCAAGCACAAGATACAGGTAACATGTTCATTTCGTTCTTAAATATGTTCATTTTATTGAATAACATATTCATTTGGGTCTGAATATTTATTTATTCATTTTGAACTTCAAGGAGATCCTTCAGTGGTAGAAGAGCTGGGGGAGAAGTCTTCTGAAAAAAATGATCTGCAAGGAGATGTTTCGGTGGTAGAAGAGCTGGGAGATAAGACTCCGGAAAAAAAAAGATTTGGAAGAAGAAGAACAAACTGGAGGAGAGAAGACTCCTGAAAAAAAAGATTTGGAAGAAGAAGCTAGAGGAGAGAAGACACCAAAAACTCCATTTGAGAGAAGATTATTATTTGAAAAGTATATATTTTGTGCTAGTCAAACATTCAACTTGCAAATTGACAAATTAACTAATATTTTGAATATTACAGGATGGTTCTTGTAGAAAAAGGCAATAAGGACAGCGATTTGGATCCCCCTTTCCTATCAACTCCCTTTTGGAAAGGGCATGTTGAAATCAGAGGCAAGTGCACTCTGAAGGAAAGAGCATTTTGGAACTTTATAATGGAAGGGGACAACGACAATGCTGAAAAAACCACGTATGTTAATTTTATTCTGTAACATGTTCATCCGGTTGTATGAAATGTTCATTAAATTATATAACATGTTCACTTGTTGTATACAATGTTCATTAAATTATATAACATGTTCATCTGGTTGTATACAATGTTCATTATATTATATAACATGTTCATCCTTTCTTTGTGTAACTATTACAGAGAAGTCATTTTTGAAGGATTACAAATGGCCTGCACAAGAGAGGATTTCAAGACCTTCAACCTTGGAGAGTATATTTCATCAACAATTGTTGATGCTTGGGCGATGCACTTGAATTTCAGATTCCACAGCTTGAATAAAAATAAGAATAAATTCTGCTTAACAACTAATGTCATGGTAAGAATCCATATGTTATGAACTACTAACACCTAGCTATATCTCTTACACTAAACATTCGACATACTTTCTAGATGGGATTGTCCTTACAAGCTATGAGTAACAGAGATCCGAATGAATATGTGAGGGAAGCAGCTGCAAGGATGGATGTCGAGTTCACAGAAGAAGGGCTTTCAATTCATGATATCAAGAATATCAGCCATGTGAGTAAATATAACATGTTCATCTCATTATAAAACATATTCATCTTAGTGTTAAACATGTTCATCTTACATTGGTCTGTTCCATTTTTCAGCTTATTGTCCCAGTCTATTTTCAGACCCATTTCTACCTCTACTGTTTGGACTTTGAAAATATAAAACTAGGCATTCTTGATAACTTGGATACAGTGTTGAGTGGAAATGTGCCACTTAAAAACAAGTATGGCGGAACTAAAGATTTCTTGGTAAGACTTGACTATTTCAACTTACATTCTATATAGTTTTTTTATTTTTTAACAAAAACAATTATTAATTCTGGCATCAACAAACAGAAAAAGATCATTGAAGCGTACAGAAAAATGTACAAGAAACTCTTCAAGACCCCGTTCAGCAAGCTTATCTTGAAACTGGTGAACATGCACTGCGCAGATTCAACAAACACAACGGACTGCGGAATATATGCAATGCATCACATGTCCAAATATGTTTGTGTGCATGCAGATGTCCATGATTGCGCATTCCCTCAGATAGGCAGTGATTCGGTAATATTTTTCATCCTAAATTTTTAATGTTTACACGAGTTGCATGTTACAAGTCAAACTGATGTTGATTATATTGTCCATTTCAGAGGAAAAAGGTCCACATGAAGAACAAGTTGGACACTCTGCGGGTGAAGTTCTTGGCCAAATTGATCGAGTCTCCAATAAACAAGAAATCAGATGTTGTCCGAGAGGATTTGAGTAATTATTTCGCTGAAAAGACAATCGAGTGATAAATGAACAACTTTGATAGATGTAGTGTCAGTTCTCTGTTTGTACGGTTTGATAAACATGTAGTTCTCTGATAAGACAAATATTTAGTGTTAAACATATTCATAATATTAAGAAACGTCTTCATTTTACAAAGTAACATATTCATTTTACAAATCAACATATTCATTTTACTAATCAACATATTCATTTTACAAATCAACATGTTCATTTTACTAAGGCAAAATTGCAATTTAATACACCACCTTTCACAGTTTTGCATTTTAATCACCACCTTTGGGAATTGGCAATTTAATCACGAGCCTTTTCCTTTTTTGCAAAACGAACCACAATTCACGGTGCCGTTTACAGAGTGCTGACTTGGAATTGACGGAAATTTTGAGGGGTTGATGTGGCCATGCTGGAATAAACGGTGTCGTTCGCACATAGCATATATCATGAATGTTGTTGCAAAATTCCTCATTTTCGATCGACTAAACCCTAATTCCCAACTAAATCCTCTCAAACTCACCTGCAACAATGTCGTCTGATTCGAGCTATACTCGGTGTGTAGTGTGCTTCCATGGATTGATTGCAAATGTGTTGACTTCAAACACAGACAAGAACCCATCACGGCGATATTACAGATGTCCAAATGAAGATGTAAGTTTTTTCGATTTTGATAGTATAATGGCTCGATATGCTTGCATATGAGAGTATGTATATTTGGGGAAGATCGAACCATTGAATTTGGCAATTTTTGAAGATTTTACAAATGAAAATTAGGGCTATTTGATTTGGTAGATTAGGGCTATTTGAAAATTAGGGCTATTTGACTCGGAAAATTAGGGCATTTAAAATTGTTTATTTTTGTAAATTAGGGCATTTGAAAATTGGGGCATTGTGGATTTGACTCTAAAACTGGAAGCCTTAATTTGGCAATTTTTGAAGATTTTACAAATGAAAATTAGGGCATTTGACTCGGAAAATTAGGGCATTTAAAATTATTGATTTTTGTACATTAGGACATTTGAAAATTAGGGCATTGTTGATTTGACTTGAAACTGGAAGTCTGAATTTAACTGAAAAGTTTGTATAGACAGTGATCTTGAGTATGTTTGCCTTCCTTTTAGTGTCTTATTTTTTTTGCAATTGATGAAGAATTTCCTTATGCCTTCATTCTGAGAGTTCTGAGAGTTTCCCTTCCTTTAGGATGAGAAATGTAAGTTCTTTCAATGGGTTGATGAAGAATTACCTTCATTCAAAAAGGTTAGATTTTTGAAGTTGAAGTCTCAGAATAATCTGTTGGAGGAGCAATTAAAGTGCACAAAATATTATGAGAGTTTGCTTGCTGAGAAGCTAGAATTGAAGGAGAATGAAATAACTAGGCTACAAAACAAGCTCGATGATTTGGAGAAGACCATTGCACAGCTAGAATTGAAGGAGAATGAAATATTTAGGCTGCAAAACAAGAATGAAGATTTGGAGAAGACCATTCATGCCATGTGCAAGCTACAAAACAAGAATGAAGAGCTGGAGAAGGCCATTCATGCAATGTGCAAGAGAAAGAAGATTGAGAGAAAATTGATTTTGTTAGTTTTAGTTTTTTGTGTGGCTATGTATTGGAATGGAGTTGGAAATGGAAATGGTAGACTGATGCTTAAATAGACAGTGTTGGTTTTGTAGTATGGTTGGTAAATGTTGGTTTTGTATTATTATTATGGTTGGTAGATGTTGGTTTTGTCTTATGGCAGGTATGTGTTGGTTTTGGAAAAGGTAGATTGAATTTGTATGATACTATTATGTAATGGAATTGGCAGACTGAAGTTCTAAAGTAAGTTGTATGCTATGTGAAGTTGTATGATGCTATTATGTGAAGTTGTATTCTATGTGAAGTTGTATGCTATCAGACTGAAATCATGTTGCTAAACAATAGCTACATAATTTACTTTTAATCATGTAGACAACCTGATATCAAGAACCTAAAATAAAAGCAAGAAATGCAAATTATGGCTGCCTAAAACATACACACCAAAATATCCAACACATAACAAAATCTCAAACATATCCAATATATCAAGATAGATATTTCACTTCAAACTAATATCCAATATCCAGCACACACCAAATAGAATTCTTATCACAAACTTATACTTCAAAATACCAAGTACACAACCAAGAACAACAAAAGGTTCACCAATGCAAATTAGGTTTCAAAATCAAGTCCACAACTACTTCAATCCATAATCAGACAAAACTACTTATTAGCCACACTCTCTTGAGTGCCTGAAACAGAACAATCTTGAATTTTCTTTGATCGGCTCCTGGTACTAGGACTACCAACAGAGTTCTTGGATGGACTCTTTGTACTAGGACCACCAACAGAGTTCTTGGATCGGTTCCTGGTACTAGGACTACCAACAGAGTTCTTGGATGGACTCTTTGTACTAGGACCACCAACAGAATTCTTGGATCGGCTCCTGGTACTAGGACCACCAACAGAGTTTTTGGATCGGCTCCTGGTACTAGGACCACCAACAGGGTTCACCAAGCGCACTCTTTTGTCACTTGACATCTGCAAATATATTAGCATTCAACTTAATTGAAATGGACACAACATATCTATTAAGATGAAGTAAATAATAGCTAACCCTCATGTAAATCGATCCTGTCTCTTCAGAAACAAACACACCATATCCCTTCTTTGCCTGAAATAAAATATACACATGAATATAGTGAATCGGTTTGTAAGTCAATTTAAACAGTTTAAATATACCAGTGCTCTATCTTTCATTGTTTGAGCTATGTGGATTTCATTTTCTTGTGTTGGATTTTTTCTCTTTCTTCCTGTTTCTTGTGTTGGAGCTGCAGTTAAGTGGCTATTGTCCTGTGTTGGAGGTGAAGCTATGTGGCCACTGCCTTGTGTTGGAGGGACAGCTGGTACATTCTCAGACCCACTAGGCAATGCATGTATCCTTGGTCTACCTCTCTTTGCCTAACAATGCAAATAAAAGTGTGAATAATTTATTAACACACACAAAATATTGAACATAATAAAATGCACCATATACCTTCTGAGGCTTGGGTGCAGCTTCATTTTTGCAGCTTCTCTTGTTGTGTCCAACTTTCAAGCATCTTTGGCATCTCATTTGCAATCCAAAACGTTTCAAGGTTGTAGCATTCTTCTTCTCCTCTTCAGGGGCTTTTTTTCTTGCCATTTTAGGTCTCCCAGGCATTTTTTTGAATGGAGGTGGTCTCACTTTTGCCCAGGTTGCCTCAGGCCACATTTTCTTTCCATTCAAAGGTTCAAGTGAAAAAGAATAGGCCCTTAAATACCTCTCAAGGCTGAAGTAAGGATGTAAAAAGGTTGCCACATCTTTTTTCTGATAAACAATTGCAGAGCAGGCATGGGCACAAGGAATCCCTGAGATATCCCACTCTCTACAGGTGCAACTCATCTCCCTCAAGTCAACTACAAACTGATCTTCTGAAATTGCCACTTGAAACTTGTCACCCACAGCAGGCTTAGTATGGCACAATCTACTTTTGTACTTAGCCTCTTCAACCTTTTTCCTAATCCTAGGACAAAGCACATCACTCACAGCACTACCCAACATAAGTTTCTCATGGTGTCTTTCCATAACATAGGTTCTAATGACCTCAAGCATCTCCACAATTGGTTTTTTTCTAGCAGCTACAATGGTACTATTAAATGTCTCACACACATTGTTCAATATCATATCACACTTGGGTAACTCTGCAATAAAAGCCTTACAAAATCTAAAGGTTTCTTTGTCAAGTAAATCCTTACATGCATCTGGATCAGCCACATTCAACTCATCAACAGCTTCCTTGTAGGCCACCCGGTATGTGCTGTGCACTATTCTCCAATATAGGTCCTTCAATATTTTCCCTGGGTACTTTTATTTCCAATTCATATACACATGTCTAGCACAGTTTCTGTGCTCAGCATGTGGTGTGAGTTCTTTGATAGCTGCAATCAGTCCCTACAAGTAGAAAATGGAACATAAATTAGAAAAAATATAACATAAATGCACACTGAACAAACATGAAGTGTACTAACCTTCTGTTGGTCACTAATGAATGTCCAACCCAAACCATCCTCTATTTTAAGCTCTTGAAACAGTATAGTCAAGAACCACCTCCAGTTGTCTTCATTCTCTGAGTCAACAACAGCCCAAGCCAAAGGATATATTTGGTTGTTCCCATCTTTTCCAACTGCACACAACAACACACCTCCCAGAAATGTCTTCAGAAAGCAACCATCAAATCCAATTATTGGCCTACATCCTTGCAGAAACCCTTCCCTTAAAGCACTGAAGCCAGTATAGAAAGCCTTGAAAACATGTCCTTCTTCTAATAGCAGTTCAAATCTCCCATTTCTATCCACTCTCTGCAGCTCAGCAATATAATTTCTGAGGCACCCATAATGTTCTGATTCAGAGCCTCTAAGCATCTCAAGAGCTTTGTATTTCCCTCTGTACAACTTCCATTTGGATGGTTGTACTCTAAACTTGTCCATAATGAGCTCCTGCATATCTGAGACCTTTATACTAGGCTGTTTCCTGAACTTTTCCAAATACTCAGTTGCTACCCACTCAGAAGTTGCTTGTCTGGTCCTAATGTCCCTAAAACAATTATGGTCTGACACCAATCTTTTGATGGCAACTCTACCCTCAGATTGTACCAAACTGCCATACAATCTCCATGGACAAGGGTCAGTACACCTTGCTTGAACTTGCTTTTGACTAGTTCTCATGAATTGAATGTTACACCCATTGTGTATTGCAATTTTTCGGATTGCATTTTTCAACTGCATTACACTGTCAAATCTCATACCCAACACAAACTTCAGAGTACTGTGATCACACTTAGGGTCATAAACTACTAACTTCTTCTTAGAATTAGACAGCCCAGTAGAATCATCGTCAACCTGTCCATGGTCAGAAATAGGTGAATCAGTGTTCACTGACCCATCAGAATCCTCATAATCAGACTCTAAGTCTCTAACAACTGAACTTTCCTCAATTTCTTCAGCCTTTTTGGATTTCTTATACATTACCCTATCCCTCCTTGCAGCAAGGTATTCCTCATCATCTGTTCCCAAATTATCATCAGAGAGTCCATCCTCACTAGAATAGTCATCAGACTCATCATTAGATGGAACATACTCATCATCATTTGAGCTTTCTTCAACATCATTAAAATTTCCATCCTCAGGAGGGATTGCAGCACTTTGTACTGCATCTTCTGTTGCACATTTAGATGATTGTCCATTCTGTGCACATCTAATTGTCTTTTCATTATCTGAGCATACATACATATAAACAAGTTTTCTAGAAGGAGGTAACAAGTTCAACATCTCCATGACACCAGTGTCATCATGTATTTCTTTGTATTCCTCTGAATTTGGAACCTTGTACAATATCTTATTCCACTCTTTACAACCCAACTTATCAATCTCTTCTACCAGATCAAAGAAACCAAATCTATCCAAGTCTAGTCCAGTAACTAAGTGAATATTATCACCAAAGAAATCCAAGAAACCATCAATATTAACCATGTACCCTCCGTAGTTGAAATAGATTGCGAAAGAATTACTGCAACATTATAAAGAAAGAGAACACATGTCACAGAATATCAAAATTAAATTAAATTCATGATTTAACTCGAAGTAATAATCATGGTTTAACAAATCTGTTGCACACCAATTACTAAATCCGCAACACAAGATATAGCCTACAACACCACAATTTCATCTCATATGGAATAATACAAGGGGATGAGCTGTACCTGTCGTCCATTACACACGAAATTTCTTCTCAGATGGGGCTTCGCCAATTCCTCGCGTCTGCAATTTTAGGATTTTCGAACATTTGAAATTAGGGATTTTGGAGTTTAGAAGGGAATTAGGGTTTTTAACTTGATTCTCCTTTTAGCTAAGCCACGTCAATGCCACAGCATGGCCACATCAACCCCTCAAAATTTCCGTCAATTCCAAGTCAGCACTCTGTAAACGGCACCGTGAATTGTGGTTCGTTTTGCAAAAAAGGAAAAGGCTCGTGATTAAATTGCCAATTCCCAAAGGTGGTGATTAAAATGCAAAACTGTGAAAGGTGGTGTATTAAATTGCAATTTTGCCTTTTACTAATCAACATATTCATTTCACAAATCAACATATTCATTTTACCAAGACACGTATTCATTTTTCAAAAGGAACATGTTCATTTTACCAAGAAACGTATTCATTTTACAAAGTAACATATTCATTCTAGTATAATTGAGTCAAATTCTAATATATTAGAGTGAATTCTAGTATAATCTAGTAAAATTCTAGTATATTCGAGTGAATTCTAGTATAATCTAGTCAAACTTAGTATAATCGAGTCAAATTCTAGTATAATCTAGTCAAACTTAGTATAATCGAGTCAAATTCTAGTATAATCTAGTCAAACTTAGTATAATCGAGTCAAATTCTAGTATAATCTAGCCAAACTTATTATAATCGAGTCAAATTCTAGTATATTCTAGTATAATCTAGTCAAACTTAGTATAATCGAGTCAAATTCTAGTATATTCTAGTCAAACTTAGTATAATCGAGTGAAATTCTAGTATAATCTAGTCAAACTTAGTATAATCGAGTCAAATTCTAGTATAATCTAGTCAAACTTAGTATAATCGAGTCAAATTCTTGTATATTCTAGTATAATCTAGTCCAACTTAGTATGATCGAGTCAAAACTTAGTATAATCGAGTCAAATTCTAGTATAATCTAGTCAAACTTAGTATAATCGAGTCAAATTTTAGTGTGATCGAGTGAATTCTAGTATAATTGAGTCAAATTCTAGTATATTCGAGTGAATTCTAGTATAATCTAGCCAAACTTATTATAATCGAGTCAAATTCTAGTATAATCTAGTCAAACTTAGTATAATCGAGTCAAATTCTAGTATAATCTAGTCAAGCTTAGTATAATCGACTCAAATTCTAGTATAATCTAGTCAAACTTAGTATAATCGAGTCAAATTCTAGTATAATCTAGTCAAACTTAGTATAATCGAGTCAAATTCTAGTATATTCTAGTCAAACTTAGTATAATCGAGTCAAATTCTAGTATATTCTAGTCAAACTTAGTATAATCGAGTCAAATTCTAGTATAATCTAGTCAAACTTAGTATAATCGAGTCAAACTTAGTATAATCGAGTCAAATTCTAGTGTGATCGAGTGAATTCTAGTATAATTGAGTCAAATTCTAGTATATTCGAGTGAATTCTAGTATAATCTAGCCAAACTTAGTATAATCGAGTCAAATTCTAGTATATTCGAGTTGACATGTTCATTTTACAAAAAAACATATTCATTATGTTAATTAACATATTTCTTCATAGAATATCAACATATTCATTGCGCTAATAAACATAATCATCTCATAACCTAACATATTCATCTTATAATTTGAAATGTTTATTTTATAAATAAAAAAATGCATCAAGTTAAGAAAACACATTACTTACAAAATCAACATACAACATGGGCAAAATCAATATGTTCATCGGGTTAATAAACATGTGCATCTTTAAAAGACACATGTTCATATGAAAACAAAACATGTTCATAGAAAACAAAAGGTATCTTCATTTTGAGAGGCCATGTTCATGACCGGAGGATTGTATTCAGAACCTCTAGGATCATCTTGAGAATCTTGGTTAGGAGGAAAAGGATGCACAAACCATCCAACAAATTCAGGGTTTGTAGAAAAGACTCGGTTAAACATGGTGTTCCTATTCCTCAATGAAGCTTGTTTCTTGTGCTTCCCCTTTGATTGTCTTGAAATTTTCTCCACAGTACTTTTCCGTCGAATGTTTCGTTCTCCTCTAGGCCTCAATTTCTCTGGATCGTTAACATTCGCGGCAGAAAATTTCGCGGTACAAGACGGTTCATCTGTAGCTAATGAAGAAAAATGAGACTCTATCCGATCAGACATGGATCTCAAACATTCATCAACAATATCTTTGGCATTTTGATCTATTTCACTTGATGAAACAATCTTCAGAAACTGGCATATTTTGTCGGATCTCCAAAGGCATGCACCTGAAATGAACATATTTGATTCAGTAATGAACATGTTGTCAGTACTAAATGAACATGTTCTATTGTATAATGAATATCATGCACATGTTTCAGTAAGACATGAACATGTTTCAATACAAATTGAACATGTTCTATTGTATAATGAATACGTACCTGGCACATGGTAACCCGCAGAATATTGGGTTCCCTCCAAGTCTAAACGACAGTTCAAATTGGCATTCCGACGCCACCTTGGATGTACATACATATCCGGAACTCTTTCGACATTAAAAAGGATGTACACCCTAAGACAGTGGCAGCAAAGGAAACCAACATTCGAAAACAAATCGTATGGACACCTAACCTCATGAGAAGTTAAGTTGAAATTTACTTGGTGCTTGAACACATCCACATTTGCCCTTTGAACATAGCATAAAACAACATTCCCATTATTTCCAATTCCAATGCTTTGTGGTGCTCCAACGACTTCCATCTTGCACGAAATTGCAGCTATATACAGTTGCTCAAAATGAATATATGCTTCAATTGTGTACAACTCACGAACATTAAGGAGCAGGGAATTAACAGGGAATTGACATTCCACACGGCCATTATTGCACCGAAAGTTATCTTTATTCTCCTTCTCTCTCCACTCCTCAAGAACTTTGACAAAATGAGAATAAAAGCCACACAATCGCGCAGTCTTGGGAAGTTTCGCCGAAATTGAGTTGTTTGTTGATTCACTCCTTTGGGATGACAATATACCACCAGAGAAATGAGTTTTGTTAAAGGCTGGACACCATTTGTGACGATTTGAATACAACCGCTTCAGCCATTTATCATCAGCGCAATTGTATGTATCACACATACTGAAGTATCAAGAACAACGTTACAGTATGAAATGAATATGTGGAATTGTATACTGAACATGTTCGTATAAAAAATGAACATTTCTAATGAACATGTTCGTATACTAAAGGAATATGCTCATATACAAAACGAACATGTTTAATAACTAAATGAGTATTTATTTATACAAAGTGAACATGTTTTATAATTAAATGAATATTTTTGTATAGAAAGTGAACATGTTTAAAACAAAATGAACTTTTTATACAAAAATAAAATCATGAACATGTTACAGTATGATATGAACATGTTTCAGTATTAAATGAACATGTTCAGTTTTTTAATGAACATGTCTACATTCTATTTGACATGTTCTTTGAACTATTCCAAAACACAGAATAAGCACCTATTTAATATATGACAATGTTTCAGTATGATTTGAACATGTTTGATAAATAAATGAACATGTTTATATACGAAAATTAATTTTATCTACAAAAATTATTATCATGAACAAGTTACAGTGAGAAATGATCGTGTTTCAGTATTAAATAAACATGTTTAATTGTAGAATGAACGTGTTCAAATATAAATTGAATAACTCACTTTTTCCAATAAAAATTGAATTCCGGTATTGTGTCCGTTGATCTCAAAACCAAATGAAAAAGATTGATGAAACCGGGCATTATCCGAAGATACTGAATGTGCTTTTTTGAATTCTCGTCAATATGCCAAGTGCATAAGCGATGTCGGGATTCCGTTAACACCAATGAAATTGCAGCTGCCATGACTGCATCTTCATCGGTCATTATTGTGGCAGACTGCTTCCCACCCATTGACTTCAGAAATTCATCCAACAACCACTGAAATGAATCCTTGTCCTCATGAAGCAAAAAACCAACACCAAACATAATGTTTCTCTTGTGATGGTTCATCCCTGTAAATGGAGCACATGCAAGATTGTACTTAACTGTCCTATGAGTAGTATCAAATACAACTAAATCACCAAACACCTCATAATCCTTCCTCATGCGAGAATCCCTCCAAAAAATGGAACACAATGATGTTGTTTCCTTATTCAGATCATAATTAAAATAAAATCCATCTTCCCGGGCCTGTCTTTCTTTCAATATATTAAGTAGGCCATTTGCATCACCGCCTTCCCAAATTCTCCGTTCAAGCTCTGTAACGTGGTTACGGGCATCAACTATTGTATAGGGCATATTTTGAACACCACGAGCTTGATCCGAAAGAACCCTATAACCAACGGTAACACCAACTCCACTAGCTTTTAATTGTGACAAATATGCTACATCATTCGAAGGCATATCCCTGTGAGAGCGAAAATAGCGGCTTGATTGTAACGCCTCACTTTGATTTTAAAGAAATTCCAGACTTTCAGAAAAATAAGAATAAATTTTTTTAAAATTTATTTCAAATATTTGTGGCGTTACTCATTTATTTCAAATCATTACCATAACATAAATCATCTAACTCCCAAAACGGGATTCATAAATCCATAAATCATCAATTCGCCCAGATTGGGTTCACAAAATAAAACATAAGTTTTTCAAGACATAACAATGTCAACGGGGCATTTCCCCAATAGTATCTCAATACTTCATAAATTCTAAAAGTTCGAAAATACATAAATCATAAATAGTTATAACTATAGCGGAAGCAAAATCAATTAATAACCGGTCTCAAAGACCGACTACCACTCGCTCTACTCCGTCATCGTACCCGCCTTTCTTAACCTGAAACGTGAATTTCAGGTGGGGATGACCACAGTTGGAAATCGTAGTGCTCACCACTATACAATAAACATTTTCATAGTATATATAGTGAAAGAAGTAGTATAATCATAGCATGTATAAGAATCAATTGAATATCCCAACTTTTTCAATATAAATTCACAGTGTTCAGACTCATGTGCACATCTATACCAATAGATTACTGCCGGTAGACGTATCGAATGCCCCTCGGGCTTCTATCGAATGCCCCATGGGCTTTACGTCTATGCCCCTCGGGCTTATACACCGAATGCCCCTCGGGCTTCTATCGATGCCCAGTCAGTAGGAGTAACCCCTCGGGTTTTCATTTCATAAATACAAGGACAACCGTTCGACGGCCGGTACAGCTCACATCGAAGGCTACATGATTCGTAGACATACATCAATCATACACAAGTAAAGAAAACTATTCATTGCATAGACAATTTTTAATAAAAACCCACCTGGTCGGAATCGAGACAAATCACAAATTGAGTGTTGGCGGCGAGTTCGACTCCTTAAGCACCTACATTTAATAAAATAGCCCTATCAAAGACTATTTGACAACCACTTAGTCCAACTAAGCTTACGTAAGCATTTAAGGAGGCATTAAATCAAAGAAAATCACATTTCCGAAAATATCACATAGATTTTGAAAACTTAACCCGGGCAGCGTTAGTAAAACCAATACAACTTTCAGCACACAACTCATATGATTATGAATCAAGTTGCATTGGCATCCTACGATACTAATCTACAATTCTTATGAAGACACCGAAAGCAAATAAGGTCATTTAGCAGGTGATAAATCAACAAACATTCAAAAATGTGTCACAGTCCAAAACTGGGGTAATGCACTTGACCAGCCCTCAGTAATTACTCTCTAACTGGAGCTACATACATGATTTTAATGAAATTCAAAAACTTAATGATAGATAACTCAAATTTATACAACTTTGATGAAGGTCACTTTGGCAAATAAATACATTTGTAATGAGTTTAAACGCAAAACATTTGGTTCAGCAAATCTGTCAAGAACTAACATGTGATATGGACAGCACTTCAGTTTTTACAACCTAGACCGAGCTACAGACCTTCAAATGACATGGTTCAAGTTTCAAATTAAATCTTACGCATGCCTCTACAACTTTTATTTAGAACACAGAAGCATTTAAGATCATTTAGATAGGGTAAAATCAGTTCACATTCTATATCAGATGTCTGCCAAACTAATAAGTCCCAACTCATGCATGTCTAACTTCATACGAGAACAACTCGAGCTACAGAGCACGTATTGATATAAAATTTATCTCATTTGAAAGGTAAGAAACAGATCTACAACTTTCATGAAGGGCATAAGTTCATACGAGAACATTATGACATGAAAAACAGATCACACATTAAAATATATAAGCTGCCGGGTAACCAAAAAAACTGGACGCACACAAATCTTGTAAAAATCATAACTTTATCGGTATAGCTCGTAATTGAGAAATTCCAAAGCCCAGATTTAGAAAACTGAACATACTACATTTCATGTGAAGACTATATTTTCAAAGAACAGGTTTATGATGTCCTAAACGGCGTCACAACAGAACAGTAGAAACGCGATTTCACATGAAATAACAATGAACACATATGACGAATATTCTAAGCTCGACCACGTTTAATATGACTTTCTCGACAGCAAATAAAAAGAGTATATTGAGAGTAACATAGTAACGACATGTTATTCAGTTTAACGAGGTCACGAGCATAACACGATAAACTAAACGACATATACGAGCCGATAATAATTCTAACCAAAATCCGACTTCAAGTAAATAATTCGGAAACACGTATGATATCTCTCTTATTCTTATAAGGAAAAATGTCTTCCCTTTGTTATGACGCCACGTGGTTCATTCTCTGCATTCCATTTCATTCAAAGACCAAAAGCCCCTCAATTTTTTCTTTTTTTTTTTTTTCGGGTCTTAAGCGAAAGAATTTTATTAACATATCTTCCCAAAACGAAATCCTCACTGCTCATTCACTCTTCACACACAGAAAAAAAAAACCCTCGCTGCTCATTTGTGTGTGACACAGGAAAATGGCAAAAACTCAATTCAAAGGAAAGCAAAGAACAAAAGGGAGATTTAGAGTATGATCCGGCGACTGTGCTTCATCGAATTTCGTCAATCATTTTCGACCTTGATTCATTTGATCCCGAAAGTTTGTCCAATTTGACATCGAAGAGATGAAAGGCACCTGTTCTCTTGTCGCGTACGTTGTGGCCGTGTCCAGGTGTGTTTTTATCAAAATGGCCTATTTTTGTTTCATAAGCATAGAAAACGACGCCGTCTCCTCTTACCTTCTGAGTTAAGAAAAGCCCGAGGAAAAGCAGAAATCACTGTAGAACTGACTGAAAGCTACTTTCAGATCCCAAATTTCTTATGCTCTAACCGACTCAAAGGCGAAAGCCGCTTTTCCATCCATAAATTTCTTTAGGCACTAAACGATGAAAGTTACTTTCTTCGAAAGGCACATCTCATGATTCATTTTTGTTTCCTTATTGTCAGGTTAAAGGTTGGGCATTCAGCTGGGCAATTCTTGACCTGTTTCTATGGTTGTGATTGTGTGAAGGTATTAAGAACTTGTATTTGGGGTATGTTTTTTCCAATTACTCTGTTCTCACGCCTTAACACTCCAATATTCTACTTTTTCTTTACAGCGAAGTTAATTCCCAATCTCTCCAATATTCTACTTTTTCTTTACAGCAAAGTTAATTCCCAATCTCTAGCCTTTTGCCATTTCCTTGAGCCTCGGCAGCAATCTTCTCAGGCCAGCCGCTTTTGGATCTCCAAAGATTCGTACTCTCCGTCTTCTACAAACAAGGTTCGGTTTAGATTCTGGTTTTGCTCCATACCAAATTGCTCTTCCATTATTTTCCCTTCTATCACAATGAACCCTATGTCAGTAGGCCTTTCTTGCAATGAAAGATATCAACTGGTACAACTGTATTTGATGTGAAATTTTGGGCTCGAAAGAACAGATACCTCTCACATACGCGTTGCTAGGGAGAATTCATCGACTTTTAAATTGTGTATTGTTCGCGCAACCTGCGTCGGAGAATTAGCCGAGGAGGATTGTCGCTTGTTCGCGCCATCTAATACTTATTCTTAAGGTATGTGTGCAACTGTAATTTTTGCCGACGTTAGGATGAGCATTTGTCTGAGATTTTGGGGCGTTTTGTTATATGTGCGTCCGAAATTATTTTGGTAGTTCAACAGTTTAAATATGTTCATGTTCGATCTTTGTTTTAAACTGTTATTTTTCCCTAAAAAAACACAAGCACAATTCTAGGGTTCTCTGTACATTTTTTATATTATGGAATTGATTAACATTTTTAAAATTTCATACTCATATTCTTGTTTCCTTATTGTTAGGTTCAAGGCTTTTTAGCATGTGACATTGAGTTCAAAATAATGTACAAACCAATTAAAGGTCAGTGTTAACTGTTGTTAGTTAGAGACTATGAATTGTTCCATTTAGAGATTAATTGATAAAAAAAGTTGTTAAACATTTGGAAATGAAAGATTACACTTGATTTTGGTTTGTGAAATTTCCAATTTCCAGTAAAACTAGCAGTGAAGTGTTTTGTTTTCCTGACATACAATTTGTTTACTATTAAATGTCGTGCCTGAATTTTGCTAGAGTTTTGGGAGGACCCTTAACCTTTAAATGTTAGCAAGGGTCATCAAAGTTCCAAATTGGTTAACTCGGGGCTGTATATTGTTTAGTGGTGCCGACTGTTTTGAAGGAGCACACTTTGGTTGGGAGACAAATTGTATTGCCAGAGGCAATTTGTAGTTCTCATTTATGAGAAATTATTTTCTACGACTAACGAATGTTGAAATTTCTTGAGAATTTTGCATACAGGTTCATATGTCATTTGTAAACGAGAGTCGGTTTTTCAAAATGAGACTTAGATTTTAATGGTCTGGCTTAGATTTTAATGCAAATTAGTTGATGTTTTCCATAGGTCGCAACTTATATGTCACTCCGATGATTCGTTTCACACTAACTGGAAGGCCTTCAATGTATGTATGTCGAGAACAGATACGACCGGACCACCAAGTAGACTCTCTCTGAAAACTCCAGTCACCATTCCACCAATTGAACTTCCCAGTAGTAGATTGAGAGAAAAGAGGTAAGATAAATTTTTTCAGCAAGTTTTTTCATTTCTCATTTAATCTGAAATATTTTTTAAGAAGTTGATGATAGACTACAAACTATCAAATGCTATTATTGATTGCATTGCGAGTCATTTCGAAACCTTTTAAAATGTTGTGGATTCCATTAGACATTTATAGAGATGAACTAATGTACTGATGATTAATATACTCAAAGCTAATGTAAAATGTTGTTTTAGCAGTTTCCTGACGTGCCCAATGAGAAGGTTGGGTTTGTCAAGTTTGTTCTAGAAACACAAATCACATATACGTTACATCTATATTTAAAACTATTGTTGTTGCATTACATACAAAACTATGATGTTCAAATATTTTATGCAGTGTTCATGCTTTTTGTATGCAACAACAGTGGGCATATGAGTATGTTAACAGTGGTTGATTCAACTGATTTGGTGAGGATGCCGTTATACTGGTTCCAATTGTAGATGAAAAATATGCATATTGAATGAACATGTTTTGTAAGAAACCATCTACCTTTTACTTTCAAATTGTTCACAACAATAGACAACATGTTATTCAAAGACAAATGCTTACAAAGAAACTTGAAACATGCAGTAAATTCCAACGCAATTAAGGACATACCAAACTATGGCCAGTTTTAACGACTACTCTAAAGTCCGCCTCAACAAAAGGCAGTGTAAAGTTGATATAATTAAGGGACATGAAAAAAAAAACTGCTACAAAATCATGGTGCTCGCAAGTTTGTGGATGACAATGGCATTACGAGGGTTCTGTATATACGTTCACGCTCATCGGCCACAATAGACCGAATGGGATTATCACTTTCAAAATCAGGAGTAAAGAAATTTGGCCTACTAAATTCTAAATCCTCACACGGATTCATGGTTAGGCGGAACGATTTAGTCTTGTGTTTTGTATTACTGCTACACACATTTTTTATGTCTTGGAATCATACAGAACCTGTAAAACACTTTTTGTCTTTAATGGTAGTGAGTATCTAAATCTTTATTTATATTATTACTATTACTATATGGTCATTATTTGTTTAATAAAATAATATTTTTTCAAACATACAAACTCATAAAACTCTTTTCAAATTTAATACTTGTTTGTATATTTATACTTTTGCATTATTGATCTATATATATACTTTTTATCAAATAGTACATACTTAATTATAATACAAATTGGGTCTGGCTGTCTGTGCACAGTCGATGCCAAACTAGTATATATATATATATATATATATATATGTGTGTGCTCAAATGAGAATGAAGCACAATGAAAAAAATAAGAATGATTTTAGGATTCATCCCATCAGTGATCATGATAGAGCCAAACTTTATTAAATAATGGTCAATCATAATGACAATATAGTAAATAAGTAGTAATATTGTGGTCAAATATATGTATTTGACAACTAATTAAGGGTAAAGTGGTCCCTACAAATAATGCAAACTCATCCAGTGGGGCCCACATCCACCATCCACCAAAAACCATCCGTCCTTTTTTTTTTTTTTGAATTTTGAGTCTTGAACCCGTAAACCCGGCCTAGACCGGGCCCGGCCCGCCGGGTTTTTTTATTACCGAAAAGGCCCGGAACCGGCCCGCTAGATGTCCGGTTCCGGTTTGAAAACCGGCTTCTCCGGGCCGGGTCCGGTTCGGGCCGGGCCGGGTTCGGTCCGGGTCCGGGCCGGTTCGACCCGTGGACATGTCTAGCTGCGCGTATAGGAAGAGGAGCACCGGTGGTCGCGGTGGGAAGCCTGCTCGCAGTGATAGTGATGGTTACAGAACTGGTTCACGGCAAGGGCGGTTAGGATGGTGGTGGTTCACCGGAAATGAGAGCTCGCGGAAAAAGAAAATGACGAAGGTGATGAGGATGATGATGGTGATCTTATTTTTGTGTCCGTGAGAGAGATGAGAGTTCAGATTTAAGGAGGAAAGCATGTGCTGAAGGAGCAATTCATGGATCAAAGATGGAGAGGATCTCAGATTTAGATGGGAAAAATGGATAGATTGAAGCTGTACACGTGATGTATAACATAGATACAAATTGTGTATGTAAAATAGATAAAGAAGATGTAGTATATTTTAACATAATATGCAAGTTTGACTTTTCCTTATTTTCAAAAATACACACACATAAATGAAAAAGAAATAAAGACCGGGTTCAGTCGACCGATTTAAAACGTCGGGACGCACGGCTTACGGGCTCGACATACATAGCTCCTCGGGCTCGATTCGATAATGATATTAATTATACACGTTAATTTAAAATAAATATAATAGTAATAATATTAATAATAATTTAGACAATTAATCACAATTTGACAATTAATAATATTTAGACATTCAATAATAATATAACAACAATAATAATAATTTTAACAATACATAATATTAAAAATAAACAAAATAATCCATTTCTAAAATAAACGGACCAGAATAAAATTCTAACACTAGCCCGATTACTGAATAGAATTTTACCGAGAATATAATCATTTTATCCACCTAATAATTATATATATATATATATAATCTCATAATCAAAGAACATCAGAAAAATCTAATATTCGAACGGGACGCTACAGTCTACCCACCTTAAAAGGAATTCCGTCCTCGGAATTCTTAAACAAAAGAAACTATCATGTTAAAAGATATACAAAATAAATCAAAACGCGAAGTTCGGGTATTTCCTCCTAATATCGGCCTCACGCTCCCAAGTCGCCTCAGACTCGTCATGTCGGCTCCACTGCACCTTCACGAGACTAACTGCCCGGTTCCTCAGCTGATGGACCTTCCGGTCCAGTACGGCCACCAGTACCTCCTCATAGGTAAGGTCTCGCTCGACCCGCATCTCGCCAAAGTCCACCACGTGGTCAGGGTCATGCACATATCTCCGCAACATCGAGACATGAAACACGTCATGCACTCCTGACAAAGCTGGCGGTAAAGCTAGCCTATAAGCCAAGTCTCCAACTCGAGCAAGGATCTCAAAGGGCCCGATATAGCGAGGTCGAAGCTTCCCCTTCTTTCCGAAGCGAATCACACACTTCATGGGCGAAACTTTCAGAAAGACATGGTCACCAATTGTATACTCGTGCTCCTGCCTCTTCCGATCGGCGTAGACCTTCTGCCTCTCTTGGGCAGACCTGATTCTCTTTCGGATCTCCTCAACCTGTTCCGAAGTCCTACGAATGAACTCCGGACCCATAATCTTTCTTTCTCCAACCTCATCCCAATAAAGGAGTCCGAACCTTCCGTCCGTACAAAGCCTCGAACGGTGCCATCTTGATCGAGGCGTGATAACTATTGTTGTAAGACAACTCGACCAATGGGAGTGAACTCTCCCAAGTTAGGCTCTGGTCTAAGACTACAGCCCTCAGAATATCCTCTAGGTACTGGATCGTCCGCTCCGACTGACCATCCGTCTCAGGGTGAAAGGTTGTACTGAATTCTAACCTCGTCCCCATGGCTCGGTGCAAACTCTTCCAGAACTGACTCGTGAACTTCGGATCTCGGTCCGATACAATCTCCACGGGCACCCCATGAAGTCGAACAATCTCGTCAGCGAACAACTCGGCATAATCACTAGCCTTCATAGTCGTTCGAACGGGTAGAAAGTGGGCAGACTTAGTAAGTCGATCCACAATCACCCAAATAGAGTCGTGTCCAGACCTCGATCTCGGCAATCCCACCACGAAGTCCATGGTGAGGCGCTCCCATATCCACATGGGAATCTCAAGTGGCTTCAACAGCCCTCTCGGTTTCTGGTGCTCAGCCTTCACTTGCTGACACACTAGACATGAATTCACGAACTTCGCTACTTGCCTCTTCATTTCTCGCCACCAAAACGACTTCTTCAGGTCCTGGTACATCTTCATGCTACCAGGATGAACAGTATAAGGCGCACTGTGCGCCTCTCGAAGAATCTCACGGCGCAGTTTCCCACACCTTCGGAACACATAGTTTACCCTCGAAGACTAATGCCCCATCAAATGCGACTGCGAATCCGCCAACTTTGCCGGCCTCCATCAACTCCTTCATCCGGCATAAGAATCGATCATTCGGTTGTTCAGCGACTATCCTCTCGCGAAGAGTCGTTCCCACAACCAAGGCTGTCAAAACACCACTGGCTGTCGAAGTCGACTCCATCGCCCCTAACTGTAGCCGCTCGAACTCCCTAACTAACACATCCTGCCTTGTGAATAGGCAAGATAGCTGGACATGACTCCTCCGACTAAGGGCGTCGGTGATCAGATTAGCCTTCCCGGGATGGTAGCTAATCTTGCAGTCGTAGTCCTTGACCAACTCCAACCATCTCCTTTGTCGCATGTTCAACTCCTTCTGAGTGAAGATATACTTCAAGCTCTTGTGGTCGGTGAAAATCTCACACTTACCTCCGTAGAGGTAGTGCCGCCAAATCTTCAAGGCGTGGACCACAGCAGCTAACTCTAGATCATGAGTGGGGTAATTTTGCTCGTGAGGCTTTAGCTGCCTCGACGCATAGGCCACTACTTTCCCTTGTTGCATCAACACACAACCTAAACCCATCTTCGAAGCGTCACTATAGATTGTGAACTCCAAAGTCGGGTCAGGAATGGCTAATACAGGTGCGGTAGTTAGCCTTTCCTTCAACTCTTGGAAACTGGCCTCGCACTGTGGGCTCCATACAAATTTTGATGCCTTCTTCGTCAGATTGGTTAGTGGCTGGGCTATCTTCGAGAAGCCCTCGATAAACCTCCGGTAGTATCCTGCTATCCCCAGGAAACTACGAACATCACTAGCATTTCTTGGTGTCTCCCACTTGCTCACAGCCTCGATCTTGCCGGGATCCACCTCAATACCTCTAGTTGTAATAATATGGCCGAGGAATGCCACACGATCCAGCCAAAACTCGCTTTTCGAGAATTTTGCATAAAGCTTCTCGCGGCGAAGGGTCTCCAGTACAATCCTCAGATGTTCCTTGTGCTGGTCAATATACCAAAATGTCATCAATGAACACAATGACAAACTGGTCCAAATACGGATGGAAGACCCTATTCATAAGGTCCATGAACACCGCCGGAGCATTGCTTAATCCGAACGACATCACTACGAACTCATAGTGTTCGTATCTAGTTCGGAACGCGGTTTTGGAAATATCAGACTCTCTGATCTTTAACTGATGGTAGCCAGACCTCAAATCGATCTTCAAGAACACGCTGGCTCCCCTTAACTGGTCAAAGAGATCCTCGATGCGGGGAAGAGGGTACTTGTTCTTGACGGTAAGGTTGTTCAGCTCACGGTAGTCAATGCACATTCGCATCGACCCATCTTTCTTCTTGACGAAGAGAACGGGCGCTTCCCACGGAGATACACTCGGTCGGGTGAAACCAAGATTAAGTAACTCCTGGATTTGGGACTTGAGCTCTTGTAGCTCCTTCGGTGCCATACGATAAGGTGCCTTCGACACGGGACCAGC